CCAAACAGCCTACTCGCTGTGGGGCAATGCCAACAAACAGGCATGAGGAGGTTATCACAGGTTCTGCCACCTAAGCTTTCCATTGGAAATAAAGAATTGTGATGTCACAGACCTACTACTATGCCAACATACTGTCCAACATAAAAATTTAAGACCTTAAAATCATATCCAAATCTTGGTTTCTAAACACCAGGGCTGGGGTGCCTGGGTGGCTCAACTGGTTAAGCATCCAATCTGGATTTCAGCTCAGGCCATGATCTCAAGGTTCGTGAGATAGAGCCTCGTTGTTGGGCTCAGTGCTGACAAGTGTGGAGCCTGCCTGAGATGCTCTCTCTTCCCCCTTCTTCCCCACCCACTCACGCTCTCTCAAAAATAACCTTTGAAATAAAATAGAATAGAATAGAATAGAATAAAATAAAATAAAATAAAATAAAATAAACCAGGGCTCCTTAGAGAAAGGACTGATCCCATGGTTGGAGCAAGCAAAGTACAAGATGAATCTGGAACATGCTATTGTGCTAGAAAGTGTAAATACTCAAAGAATGAAAGAGACTTGTTGAAAGATAAGGTGTCACCTTGAAGGGGCTCCCACTGGCCAAATATGAAAGAATATGAGTATCAAATAGTGAGAGTAATGGATTAAACTCACCGAATAAAAACAGTTCATACCAATGATTATGACTAGGATGATGAATGGGGAAAAGGAAAAGTTTTTTCTAATAACAAAATGCTGACAATTAACTCTATAAGGAAATGGGAGAATTATATAATCACTGTTTTGCAACTGTCATATAACTGGCTTAGGCAAGAATCAATAATGGATACTAACGCAGTGAAATTTCAATGAGGAAAAGTTATTTACACAGGTCAAAATATCTCCCCATAACGAACTTATGATTTACAAAAGAGAAAACCATAATAATACGCTGAAGAAACTTGGTAGTCACCACCCATACTGGGACAGATATGTCTGCTGTACCGATATGATTCACCAAGGAAGATTAACTTAGGTGGTACCAAAATGCATAACCTGAATCATGAGGAAACAGACAAACCCAAGCTGAAGGACAGTCTGAAAATAAATGGCCTATATTCTTCAAAAATATCAATTCCAGCAAAGACAAAGGCAGGCCATGGAACTGTTCTAAATGCAATGCACAATCTTAAGGTAGATAGTAGGCCAGAAAAAAATTTTTTTTCCTACAAAGCTCATTGGGACAATTGGCAAAATCTGAATAAGATCCAGATTAAATAATAATATTGTATTAATGCCTTATTTCTTATTTTGATAATTGCGATTATGTAAGTGAATGTCCTTGTTTTAAGGCAATACATGAAGTATTCAGGGGTAAAGGGGACAATGCAACTTACTCTCAAACAGTTCATAAGCAAAAGTTTTCTTCAGGCATCCAAATTTTCCATTTATATGTCTGAGCTGGCAAAACAAACTACTGTAGAGCCTGCTTACTATCCGGAAGGCTCACCCACATTTACAACAAACAACCACTAGATGGCACTCTGTGATCTTCTAATCCCAGCAGCCTAGGTTTCCACAGGCAGCATTTTAGACTTCATTATGTTAAAAAACATTCATTTTGTTAAAAAACAAAAACACAACTGGTGATCTTTAATAAACCACCATTACCGGGCAACTACTACATTCAAAACAGATGTTTTCACAAAGGTCTTACAAGGTCTTTCATGATCCGATTTTTCACTGGCTCACAAACCCATCTCTCTGACCACATCTCTTTTAAGGTACTGCCTTTTCACAGAACTTTCTTGACACTTCTATATAAAACAGGAGTTGGCTGCATGCCCTCCCCTACCCCCTTACCCTACTTTATTTTTCTTCAGTACTTGACATTTTATTGTCTTCTTTCCCACACTCCCAGAATGTACGTCTCACGAGGACATTTATTTTGCTCAATGCCTGTATCCCAAATGTCTAGAAAAGAGATGCACACAAGGCACGTTTCTTCTCTTTCATCACTAGCTATTACTTATCCTCCTCCAATTGTCCATGACATGTCCACCCCCCACAACAAGTCCCCTAAAGGAGAGAGACTGTGAAGAGCCTTAAATGTCAAGCACTATTTTATGTGGAAGTCATCAAGCCATTTAAGCACAAAGTGACCCTACAACAAGAGTGCTTTAGAAAAATTCTTCTGTCAAGAAGGTGGTAAAAGATAGTGGGAGTAGAAAGCAAAGATACAGGGACACTGTCGAGGCAGTGGTTACAACAGCCAAGGTCTCTGATGCCAAGAGACTTAGGTTTGATCCTGGCTCTACAGTTTGCAAGAGCTCCATGACTTTGGATAAATTGCTAATTCAGGAAGCTCTTTGTCCTTCAGCTGCCCAGTGTGTAAAAAAGAGGGCAGTAAAAAAATGTACCTTATAGGGAACATAGAGGTTCTGCTTATCCTATGCTTGTTACGGGGCCTGATACAGAAATTGTAGCATTGCATGTAGGAAATAAGGGAAAGGGAGTAAGCAAATATCTCTTCATTAGTCAACTGATTTTTACTGAGTGCTCATAAGTATGTTGAGTACATTTCTAGGCACTGGAAATGCAGCCATGAGCAAAAAGAAAAAAAAAAATAGCTCAGAGTCTTTCTTTATCATGTTTATATTTGAGCAGGAGGTTAACAAAAAATAGCCCTAAATATCTGAATCTACCTGGTTCTTGAGTTTCTGTTGGCGAACAGCTAATGCTGGGACAGCAAAGTCCTATTCTCAAGATCTCTCAGGTAGATACGTGTTCTGTAATTTCAGGCTATGAGAAGGGCTATGAAGAAAAATGAAGGTAAGGGGACAACAATACATAGACATCATTTTAAATAAGAGTTGTGACATTTGAGTAAAGAGGTGAGAGATACTGGAATTTACTCTGGAATGTTTCAAAAAAAGTGAAATCCAGAAGAACAGATTTGAGGATGATGTGTTTGGGGTCTTAGAAATAATTTAGCTCTGGCTTCAAAAAACAAACTAGGAGCCCCTGGGTGGCTCAGTCGATTGAGTATGACTACTCATTTTGGCTCAGGTCATGATCCCAGGGTCGTGGGATCAAGCCCTGTGTTGGGCTCCGCGCTGAGTGTGGAGCTTGCTTAGATTCTCTCTCTCTCTCTAAAATAAATAATTTTAAAAAGGCAAACTAAAAGCGGATGAGAGAAAGCACCCTAGCAACTCTAGTTTACTTACTTGTAAACTTTAGTCTTCATTTCTTTCAACTGTGGAAAATAAAAAATTGTAGGATCTCCTAGGGCAGAGAACTGTCTTCCAGGGACTGTGTTATGGGTTGAACTGTATCCCCCCAAAACAGATACACTGGAGTCCCAGCCTCTATATTTCAGAATGTGACTTTATTTGGGGATAGGATCTTTATACAGGTAAACAAGTTAAGATGAAGTCATTAGAATGAGACCTAATCCATAGGACTAGTGTCTTTATAAAAAGGGAAAATTTGGACACAAATAGACACACACACAGAGGGAAGATGATGCATAGACACAGAGAGAAAATGGCCATCTTCAAAATAAGGACAGAGGCCTGAAAAAGATCCTTACCTCTGAGCCCTCAGATGGAACCAACCCTGTTCACACCTTGATTTCAGACTTGTAGCCTCCAGAACTGTGAGACAATAAATTTCTGTGGGTTTAGCCACCCAGTTTGTGGCACTGTTACAGTAACCCTAGAAAACCAATACAGACTGAGAGAAGATCTATTTGTGTACTCATCTCCCTTAAGATCAAAAGCCTGTTGGGGCACCTGGATGGCTCAGTTTGTTTAAGTGTCCAACTCTTGGTTCTGGCTCAGGTCAGGATCTCACAGTCCGGCTCTGCAATGAGTGTGGAGCCTGCTGGATTCTTTCTCTCTCTCTCTGCCCCTCCTCCACTTGCTCTCTCAAAATAAATAAACTTAAAAAAAAAAAAAAAAAAAAAAGATCACAGGGGTTCCTGAGTGGCTTAGGTGGTTAAGCATCTGATTCTTGGCTTTGGCTCAGGTCATGATCTCGTGGTTTCAAGCCCTGCACTGGGCTCTGTGCTGGCAGCACCCATCCTGCTTGGGATTCTTGGTCTCCTCTTCTCTGCTCCTCTCTCACTCATGCTGTCTCTTTCTCAAAATAAGTAAACTTAAAAAAAAAAATCATAAACCTCTTATAGGGTAGAGCTGATATTGCTTGAAATCATCTTTGCATCTCTTTTGACGTATCTGATCTAATGCAAAAACTTAATAAGATACTATTTTAAGTTCCGGCACCTAAACACAGTAGAGCTTAATAAGTACTCAAATTCTCCCACTACTTTTCCATATATATTTTTCCTGACAGGCATTTCTTTGTTCTGCAAATTGACAAGCTAAAGTTAATTTCTGAGACACACTGGAATTGGCCCTATCAAAATAAAAATTTGAGTGTCTAAGTTTATTAGGTGTTAATTGAATATAAACCGTTCTTTATCTTTAGGCAACTATACTCCAAATTAAACTTTATATAGACCCCAATCGAGGAAATACTGACAAGTTAAAACCATTAGTTTGATGCATGAGTAATAATAAAAAATGTCACATAAAAGTCAAAGGTGGGGCACCTGAGTGGCTCAGTAGGTTAAGCGTCTGACTTCGGCTCAGGTCATAATCTCATGGTTCATGAGTTCGAGACCTGCCATCAGGCTCTGTGCTGACAGCTCAGGGCCTGGAGCCTGCTTCGGTTCTGTGTCTCCCTCTCTCTCTGTTCCTCTCCCACTCATGCCAGATCTGTCTCTCTCTTTCTCTCTCTCTCTCTCTCTCTCAAAAATAGATAAACATTAAAAAAAAAAATTAAAGGAAAAGTCAAAGGTAAATCCATCTAAGGAAGAACGCATGAGGAAGGAAGTAACCACCAAAGCACTTTACTCTAGCTCAGCACTAGGCTAGGCACTCACACACAATTTCACCCTCAGAATCTCACCATCTACAGATAAGGCAAGTCAGACTCAGGAAGTCAAACAACATTGCCCAAGTTCACCCACCAGTGGCGTTGGAGGCAAATTGGAACCTGGGGCTGTGTAATTCAGAAAGACAAGCTCTTTTTGCTAAGGAGCATAGAAGCATGTATCTATATTAACCTTCCACCTTAGAAACATGAGCACAAGTTACCTAATTTAATCATATTATATTGTTAATACTAGCAACGAAAAATGCAAAATACAGTTCCTGTTAAATCTATTCTCAAAGTCATAGGTAGTTACAGGAGAGAAAAGGAGTATCAAGGGAGCTTGCCACCAAGCTCATGTGTAAAAACAAGCTGACATCTTTGATCAAACTCCTAGGTTGAAAGGACATTCAAGAACCTTCTCAAGCTGGAGCCGCACTATATACAATTAAGAGCAAAGCGAATAAGATACAGTTGCCATAAATTACGTTTATAATCAGTTACAAAATAAGGCTACCTTAGGTCAAGAAACAAGAGTTCACAAAATCACACCCAAAAGTATTGGCAACCTTTTAAAAAATGACTAGCCACTCAGTACAAAGAATTTAGAACCTGAGTAAATTAAATATACAAAGGTCATTAACGTGACTCATGTACACCAAACTTCATGGCACTGATGTTTGTTCACCACCATAGGTGACACTTCTCATCTGGTAGTTAAAATATCTATTACATGTTCTCAAAGTTTGTGTGTGATAAGCTACCCTAAAATACCCATCCATGTTGTTCAAGGCATTTAAGCCACCAATACATTTATTACCCAATAGCAACAAATTACCCCTGGCCTCAGTCTTCATCTACATAACTGAAGGCATGTCATGGTACAAATGAACGTACTTTTTATTTATCTAGCTCCTGCCAACTGACTTTTGTGTCCAGTGCCACTATACTTCTCTGAAAATGAATAAAGTGTGTTTAATTTATTTTGTGGCTTCTGATAATTTCTGAAGTCATTCTTTGTCGAAGCAGTTGAAAAACTGTATACTCTGGTCTTCATAGCTGATCTCACAGGTTTTTTCAAACTCTCAAAGTTAATTCTCTAGTAAGAGGTACACAGAACCACAGGGCTCTTCCACAACTGTGCTTACGATAACTTTAGGAAAGGTGCCTAAGATTGTGATCCTGAAATTCCATTTCCCATTGAAAAGCTTCTTAGAGAAAGGGCTATTTTCTGATCTGGGGCAGAAAACGTACAAGATAAATCTGGACAAACTGTCATACTAAATAGCAAAAAAGCTATCAAAGATGCCTCAGATTGAATCAAATGGACTTTGGGGCTGGGCCATCGTGAAGGGACTCCAACTGGCCAAAGACAGGACAATCGATAAAAATAACAACTATACGTTCTACAAAATGCATGAATGTTGAAAACATTATGCTAAGTTAAAGAAACAAGTCACAAAAGACCACTTATTGTAGGATTCCATTTATACAAAATGTCCAGACTATGGGGCGCCTGGGTGGCGCAGTCGGTTAAGCGTCCGACTTCAGCCAGGTCACGATCTCGCGGTCCGTGAGTTCGAGCCCCGCGTCGGGCTCTGGGCTGATGGCTCAGAGCCTGGAGCCTGTTTCCGATTCTGTGTCTCCCTCTCTCTCTGCCCCTCGCCCGTTCATGCTCTGTCTCTCTCTGTCCCAAAAATAAATAAACGTTGAAAACAAAATGTCCAGACTAGGCAAATCCAGAGACACAAAGTAGATTAGTCATTGCCTAGGGTTGGAGGTGGTGTACTATGGGGGTAATGAGGAGTGATAGCTAATGGGTAAAGGGTTTCTTTTGGGGTAACAGAAATGTTTCAAACTTCTTAGATTATGGTGATGGCTGCACAACTCTGTGAGCATACTAAAAACCACTGAGCTGTACACGTTTAACAGGTGAATTTCATGGCATGTAAATTATAATTCCAGAAAACTGTAGGGGGGAGGGAGCCCAACTACAATGGATTGAACCACAAATATGTTTACAGCTATGAGCTCATACTAAAATAAACCTTAACTGGTCATTTGGGAGGATGCTAGGACTCTAACTCATTAATGAAATTTGGAAAGTACAAGTATTTATCCTGTGTCTATTTATATATAAAGTGTCTCTAGGGGTAACACCAAAGAAATGAGGTAAAGTTCCTTTTTATAGAACTATATAATTAATAAGTTAAAGAACTGAATATTACCATTTTGCAACACTAAATAAAATAAATGGATCTAGGCAATGCTCAGTGGCCGCTAACATCACAAAAAGTTAACCAGTCAGTAGGCGCCTCCTGGTCAAAGTACACAATGCCACTTACGAAGCAGTCAAACAAAAACAGATTTGCAAGGAAAATAACCCATGAATAACATATAGATAAAAAGACCAGAGAGACTATTCAAACAGCAATATAATGACCTTATAAGTCCTGATTCAAACAAACTTAAAATTAGCAGGGAAATCTGAACCCTGATTGGGTATTTGCTATTATGGACGTGTTTCAAAATATTTTAAGCGTGGGGGCGCCTGGGTGGCTCAGCTGGTTAAGCGTATGGCTACTGATTTCAGCTAGGGTCATGATTTCCAGCCCCATATCAGGCTCTGTGTTGAGTGTGGAGCCTGCTTGGGATTCTCTCTCCCTCTGCCCCTATACCCCTCTCCCCCACTCACAGGCTCTCACTCTCTAAAAAAAAAAGAAAAATAATAATAATAATAATTTTTTTGAGTGTTATACTAGTACTGTAGCTATGTTTTGAAAATTAAGAGTCTATATTTTAGGGGCACCTGGGTAGCTCAGCTGGTTGAGCACCCATCTTCGGCTCAGGTCATGAGCTCATGGTTCATGACTTTCAGCCCCACATTGGGCTCACTGCTGTCAGCCCAGAGCCCCTTTTATATTGTCTGTCACCTTCTCTGTGCCCCTCCCCCACTCATGCATATGCACTCTCTCTCTCAAAAATTAAAAAAAAAAAAAAAAGAGTCCATATTTTACAAAATGATATGATGTCTGAGGTTTGCTTTAAAATAAGATGGGTGGGGGGCACCTGGGTGGCACAGTTCATTGAGGATTCAACTCTTGACTTCCACTCAGATCATGATCCCAAGGTTGTAGTATCTAGCCCCACACTGGGCTCCATGATGAGCATGGAGCCTGCTTAACATTCATTCATTCATTCATTCTCTCTCTCTCTCTCTCTCTCTCTCTCTCTCTGCCCCTCTCCATTGTTCACACTCTCACAATCTCTAAAATAAAAACATAAAAATTAAAAAAAAAAAAGATGGAGTAGAGCAGAAAAAGAAGATAAAGATGAAACATGAACCACAGTTAGTAACTGATGAAGTTGAGATGGATGCACAAAAGCTTATTTTGCAGGGCACCTGGGTGGCTCAGTCAGTTAAGCATCCAACTCTTGATTTTGGCTCAGGTTATGATCTTGAGGTTCACGGGATCCAGCCCATGTCACTACACTGGCAGCACTGAGCCTGCTTGGGATTCTCTCTCTCCCCCTCTTGCTGTCCCTCCCCTACTCGTGCTCTCTCTTTCTCTCAAAATAAACATTTTTTAAAAAGTTTATCTTGCTACTTTCTTTTTTGGATATATTTGAAATTTTCCACAAGAAACCTTTTTTAAAAAATTTATTTATTTACTTAGAGAGAGGCAGAGAGAGAATCCCAAGCAGGCTTCGTGCTGTCAGCATGGAGCCTCACTCAGGGCCTGATCTCAGAAACCGTGAATTCCTGACGTGAGCCAAATCAAGAGTCGGACACATAACTGACAGCCACGTAGGCACCACCACAACTAAACTTTTAAAAGACAACAATGCTGCCAATGCCATACATCACTGGAATTACTCCATTTCACAGATTCAAACACAAATAGGTTTCCTACCATTCCCACATCTCTGAAATCAAGACAGCATCTTTTAAAAAAATTTTTTTTTTCAACGTTTATTTATTTTTGGGACAGAGAGAGACAGAGCATGAACGGGGGAGGGGCAGAGAGAGAGGGAGACACAGAATCGGAAACAGGCTCCAGGCTCTGAGCCATCAGCCCAGAGCCTGACGCGGGGCTCAAACTCACGGACCGGGAGATCGTGACCTGGCTGAAGTCGGACGCTTAACCGACTGCGCCACCCAGGCGCCCCAAGACAACATCTTATAGCGAATGGTGTATCAATTTAACTGGTAGTGGTTTTTTTTTTGCGTGGCATATAAAATGGTGTAATTTAAAACTGATTGTGTCCCAAATTCAATGAAAAAAATGTACAAGATTATAAATATATCTGCTTATCTATCTCTCCTTAGCTAAATCATTATTTGCATCATACTAGAAAGGAAGAGTTCAAAAAAATCTCTTGACTATCTCCATTTTCTTACTTGCTTGGAATTAATTCAGTTACAGTGAGAGAATCATTAAAATTATACTTTAGCCAATATAAAAATAAAATTAGTCTGCAAACTAGCATTCGTGATAGAGAAGATCTGGGAAGCATCGAGCAAAAAGTCTAAGTATGACCGGGGGGGGGGACATTGCCTCATTTATCTTGCCAGGTCTAAAAATTATAATAAAAACTAAGTCTAGTTGACCAGCCCATCTTTTCTTCTTTTTTTTTTTTTTTTTAAATTTTTTTTTCAACGTTTATTTATTTTTGGGACAGAGAGAGACAGAGCATGAACGGGGGAGGGGCAGAGAGAGAGGAAGACACAGAATCTGAAACAGGCTCCAGGCTCTGAGCCATCAGCCCAGAGCCTGACGCGGGGCTCGAACTCATGGACCATGAGATCGTGACCTGGCTGAAGTCGGACGCTTAACCGACTGCGCCACCCAGGCGCCCCTTTTCTTCATTTTTAATAAAGGAGTTCCTAAGCACCCACCACTTCAGCATTTGCATAAGTTGCTGGTTTCAAGTAATCTAAAGAACATAGTAATTTGGCAAGCCTCTGGGCCTCACTGCAGCAGAAAGACTAATGTAAACAAAATTTACTAACGTATATAAACTTATTGAGGAAGAAAAGAGAAGAAACTATTTCTGACAACCACAATTCTAGAAATGCAATTTTGTAAGCACGTACTTTAAATGGAGTGACAATTAAAAATAATACCTTTTTAAGATGACAACTCACATTGAAAATTTCAAAGATAAAAAGCAAAGAAAAAGATGGATTGGGCACATTTTTTTAAAAATCAATACATGAAATTAGAAAGGCTAATAACCCAAGAAATGTAAATTTGCCACATGACAAAAAGTATATTTCTTTTTTATTTTTTAAATGTTTGTTTACTTTTGGGAGACAGAGCTTGAGTGGGAAACGGGCAGAGAGCGGGGCACAGAGGATCCAAAGCAGGCTCTACACTGATAGCAAGGAGCCCCATGTGGGGTTTTGAACTCAAACCATGCAATCAGAAGCCAGATGCTTAACTGACTAAGCCACCCAGCGGCTCCGACAAAAGGTATATTCTTAATAAATACTTCCTAAGATTAAGAAAATGATCAATAATCCATACAAAAATGGGTAAAAGATAGGAGCAGGTCAATAAATACATCCCACAAATGGTCAACCTGACCGGTAACAAAAGAAATTAAAACAAGATACTTATAGATTACCAAATTTGGGCAACGTTTTCAAGTAACAATGCCCCAGTTCTGGTGGCCAAGTAGGATGTGCAAAAATATTCCCACTTCCAACATTCTGCCTGGAGCAGTCCTCCTTCATTCACCTCCTTCAAGTGTCACCTCAATGCAGCTTCAATCACCCTATTTAAAACCGCACCCTCACCCCCACTCCTCAAATTCCCCTTATCTTCCTCTATTTTTCCAACTTATGGTCTTAACATACTACGCAATTTACTTATGTGCATTGTTTATTCTGTCCCCAAACCCCATGAAAATAAAGTTCCCAAGGACAGAGATGTTTTTCTTTCACAGGGATGGAAAACTGCTTGGGATATAGGAGGTCTGCAAAAATTGTTTAATGAATAGGAAAATTAAACTAGTTAATTCCTTAAAAAAAATTTTTTTTTTTAATGTTTACTTTTGAGAAAGAGACAGAGTGTGAGTGGGGGAGGGACAGAGAGGGAGACACAGAATCTGAAGCCGGCTCCAGGCTCTGTGCTATTAGCACAGAGCCCAAGGCGGGACTCAAACCCATGAACCGTAAGATCATGACCTGAGCCGAGTCCAACGCTTAACTGACTGACTGAGCCACCCATGCGCCCCTAAATTAGTTAATTCCTAATTAAACTAGTGAATGTCTCTGGAGAAAATTTTGTTGACAATATGAATTTAAAAACCTTTAAAATGTACATAACCAGTAATATCACTCCTAAGAATTTATCCTAAGTAAATAATCACTGATGTGAACAATGGCTATCCAAAAGATCATTCATCTTTGCTATGAACTGTGAAAAACTTGAACCAATGTATACTGGAGGCTTTAAAAGCAAGTGGAATATTTAATGCTATGAAAAACATTCAAGGTAAGGTTAGCTGGGTTAAAGTATACCCAATGATTCCATTTTTGTCTAAACTAAAATAAATTATGATATACCCGTTTAACAGAATGCTATCTAGATGAAGCTACTCACTGTGTCCTGATACAGAACCACTTCTAAGCCTTAGTGGAAAAGGCAGACCTTAAAAAAAATAGTAAGGTTATGCTATAAGGAACTGATACAGAATCAATTTCCAAGATACGTTGGTAAGTACAAAAAGCATCCAAAACCATTTAACTTAAAAAAATTGGCTCAAGTTCATGTACTGTACTGTATAAAAATGTTAGAAATTTTCAACTATCGGGGCACCTGGGCGACTCAGTCAGTTGAGCATCCGACTTTGGCTCAGGTCATGATCTGAACTGTTAGTTCAAGCACCGCATCAGGCTCACTGCTGTCCGTGCAGAGCCTGCCATGGATCCTCTGTCCCCTTTTCTCTCTGCCCTTCCCTTGCTCACGTTCGCTCTCTCAAAAATAAATTTAAAAAAAAGAAATTTTCAACTATCTTTTCTTCTGAATTTTCAATATAATTAGATATTTTGGAAAATTAGGAAATAAAGCCATCTCTCCTCTCCTTTGACTTCACAGATCGGTGAGTACTAACATGAACAAAATCCCTTCTCTAGCTCAAACTGTTTTACTAACAAATTTATACTAAACCCAGTTCTTTAACTGCAAAGAAAGTAAAAATTACTGTCCAAAGTAATTTCCTAAGCTAAGTAATTATTAGATATGAATACCATTCTGGAATTATGTTCCATAGAAGTAATGTGAAAAATAGGACGCCTGGGTGGCTTAGTTGGTTAAGCATCCAACTTCAGCTTAGGTCATGATCTCGAGGTACGTGAGTTCGAGCCCCGCGTCAGGCTCTGTATTGACAGCTCAGAGCCTGGAGCCTGCTTCAGATTCTGTGTCTCCCTTTCTCTTTGCCCCTCCCCTGCTCACGCTCTGTCTCTCTCTCAAAAATAAAGATTAAAAAAATTTTTTGATTAAAAAAAAAATATGAAAAGCAAACATAACTGTGTTAAATTGTAAGAGCTATGACAAACGGATAAAGGCACACACCTATTGGTATATATATTGAAAACTGAATGACCAAAGGAAGATACAGAATTACATCCTTTTAGAGACATAGACAGGGGGCTCTGAAAGGGTACTTAAACTTTAACCCAGGCATCCTGTGTCACCTTATACAGAAGCCTCAGTTTGCTCAGTTTCTACCTTGTTTGTCATCAGACACATCAGAAGGAACTGTCACTTGGAGACAGCAGTGGTTAGTACCCAGGGCTTTGGGGTATGTCAGACCCGGGGTTGAATACTAGCTTTACAATTTTCTGTGGAAGTAATCTGGAAAAATCTCAATTTCCTTATCTGTAAAGTGAAACAGTTTATCATCAACTAGTTAATTTTAGTAAATAAGAATACAGTGTCTGAAAAAGTGAAGTGGAGACAAAATTCTTCAAATAAGACAACTGAAAACCCCCAAGGTCAAATCTTTCAGCACAGTGAAAGAGCCCAAAGGAAACAAATACTGAATAGCACTGCGCTGGAAGGCAGGGGCCCTGGATTCCAGTTGTGTCCTTGCTACAACCAGCTGCAGCTCCATGGACATGATTTTTCATGTATGTAGGTTCTGGTTTTAAGATCTACAAAATCAGGGGACTGAAATCCTTTCCACCTATACCCCGCCATGACTAAATTACTAAAACGTTACTTACAGTTTTACTTTTCATTTAAATGCTTGGTTTTTCTAACTTCTCAGTTGTCATCATGACTAAGCTAAGACCATTTCCTTAACTAACTCATCCAAGGTCAAACTGCTAAAAAGTGGCAAAATCACAATTCAAACCAGATCTGACTCACTTGGGAGACCAAATTCTACGGCATGCTTCTTCCTTAGACCTTCTCCCTGACTAATCTGGTAACCAGCAGCCTGCCTTTGCAGAAGGACTGGAAGTCCAGAGTGCAGTCAGGGGTCATGGAACAGAGTCAAGTTACCTGAGTCAGGTGGGGCTTGAACTTCTGACACAGTATTCTAACCAAGTTAATTAGACATTTCAGCTACTTAAAAGGAGGCTGGAGAAACAAAAAAAGAAAGGTAAAATTGTCAAGAGAAACCATTAACTGAAGACAAAAATAAAGCACCTCTGAAACTGCAAGTAAGTGAAGGTCATTCATTTATATAAAATTTCAGGAATTAAAAGTTGTACAAAATGAAATATTCCGTAAAATAACTGCTAGATTATCTGTACTACTTGCTTGCTTTTGTGTAAGTGTGAAAATAATGGACACAAATTACCTAACAGTGAACGAAGGAGTAACAGAGAATCCAAAGCACACATATTCGGCTTTAGAAATAAAGAATATGGTTTAAATAGATAATCCAAAGTAATGATTATCTGGTACCAAAAACAGATGATGAGGTGTCTGGCTCGCTCAGTTGGGAGAGCATGCAACTTTTGATCTCAGGGTCAAGAGTTCAAGCCCCACATTGGGTGTGGAGTCTACTTTAAAAATACACATATATATGATCACCTTTATATATTTTCCTCCCAAGTTACAGGTTGACTCAGGTTAATACAAAATAATTTCCATGTGGAGAGACCAAGACAGATCACTTCTCAACAATACAGTGAATAATAAAATTACCATCTCTTTACATCAGCAGAAAATACGTTTTATAGCACATTCCTATCAGCTCCACAGGGAATAATAAAACTAAGGCACATACAAAAAAAGAGTAACACTTAAATTCCCACTGCAGACAAGAACCAGGTTAGCTCCTCGGCTGTTTCCATTAAACCAACGTGGGATTACGAACTGGTTCTGAGGGGCGCCTGAGTGGCTCAGTCCGTTGGGCATCTGACTTCCGCTCACGTCATGATCTCACAGTTGGTGAGTTCAAGCCCCACTTCAGGCTCTGTGCTGACAGCTCAAAGCCTGGAGCCTGTTTCAGATTCTGTGTCTCCCTCTCTCTTTCTCTGTCCCTCCCCTGCTTGTGCTCTGTTGCTCTCTCAAAAATAAACAAAAACCATTTTTTTCTTTAATAAATAAATAAAAACTGGTTTTGGAACAATCCATACGTGGATAATCACGAGGCAAACACATGGAGATAAACTCACATTTAAATATGTTGGTTACCAAGCACTTTATAAAATAAAAAATTTCATGAGACAGTTAATAGAAATGGAGCAAGAGGTGAGGTCAGCTACCACTTTAGCTCGACTACTATAAGTCATTATGTGTCATTCTCAAACATCAGATAGTCACCAAAACCACACACACACACACACACACACACACACACACACACACACACACACATCTGATAATATCATTCAGAAAGGTAACCTAGGAAAACCTCAGAAATGCTCGTTTTCTCAGCTCAAGAAGGAGACCGTATACAACTCCACACAACATCAAGGAAATGGAAGTGTCCGGAAAATGATGCACTGTTCTCTAAAGGCAATTTCCAAGCCACTGCAATTAAACGTGAGAACAAGATAAAAGTTCTCCAGACTAAGCCTCACTTTGCAGAAGCCCTCTACTGGGCGTTTCTAAGATGTGACCAACTTTTGTGTTTCCCACAGCAGCGCTTAAACCACGGTTATGCATCCTGCTGGTAAAACCCGGACATGTGGCACTTCACACACCAAACCAGAATCACCAAGAGCGTTGGCTAAAGAACTTGCCCGTCACTACCGCGAGGCCCACTCCACAAGGCATCTGCATTCAGCGCGAGGGCTGGAGGTTTTGAGAGAAGAAACAGAAACGCAGTGGTCTGCCTGCCACGGCGAGGAAGGCGACGCTCCTTTCGGGCTCAGGAAGTTGCCCGACCAGGGGGAAAGCTCCATGCCCTCCTCTATGAAAGCGAGCGGGTGGCTGGCAGACCAAAATGCGGAAAATTCACTTAAGAACTCCCTGACGGCCTACCGTGCAGACGTAGGAGTCAAGTTTAAGACTCGGGAAGCAGGTGGGGGAGAGGCCAGAGTTCACAAACAGATCATGATCTACCAGCTCCGTCGGGAGGCCCAGACCCGGGGCGGGGGAGGGTGGGGAGGGGGTGGAGGGGGGAGGGTGGGGTGGGGGGTGGGGGTCGTGCCTCCTCTCTGGAGTTGGGGAGCTGACGGACAGGACGGGCTCCAGTCCTCCTCCAACAGCCCTTTCCAGCGGGCCTGGCCCTCGGCAACATCAGCTCCGCTCCGCATGGCTCACGGAGTGCGACCCTCCAAGGCCACTCCGCGGCCATGTGGCTGGGGCCGCAGGGCGCCCAAACCCGGCGCACGTTCAAGAGGTGAAACCAGAGGAGAGGAGGTGCGGGAGGAAATCCAAAGAATGGGATGTCGGGGTACAAGACTCACTTCCTCTGGGCTTTGTCCTTCTTGGCCTTGGTCCTTTTCTTTCGGGCCTGGAGCGCAAGCACTGCAGGAGAGAGGGATGGATGAAGGGCGAATGTGGAGTAAAGGAGGCGACCAAGGTGAGGGTGGAGACCCAGCAGGGGCGCGAGGCCCGGGTGCGGGGCCTGGCTGAGGGGCGGCTCCGGGACGAGCGCCGCGGCTTCGGCGAGGCGGCCGGCCGAGCGG